ATACTGAATAAACAGAGGCCCACAATATATCAATGATCAAACCATCTCAGCCTACCCGCTGTAAAATGCAGAATGACAGTTCTGTCACTGGACAGAACACTGGCATTTTAGCTCTGGGATCCCAGTTTGAGTCCAAATTGAAGCAATAAGGAAAATTGATTTGGTGATCTGGTGATCTCTTCTTGCACAAAACCATTATACATAACTGAGTAGAATTTTGGCTCTTTAACCACCTCTGCTTAGAAGAAGTGTGGCTTTGTTTACATGCAGCTTGAGTTTTTTTGTAGACCTGATGGAGGGCATTCCTATACACTGCAGACATCATATAGTGAGGGTAGTGTGAGAGGAGCTTGTGCTGCTCACAGCATGTTGAACCTCACCAGAAGGCACAGAAACAGCAATCCTTTAATGCTTATCAATACATGAATGGATATTTCCCAGAGTATTAATCTGAATTGCAGAGATGTATGCAGGAGTTTGTAAAACACACACAATGCAAAGAGGGGGTGGAAGCCTTTTGTCAACTCTCAAAGCAGAGCTGAGAAAAAAAAAATAAATAGGAGAAACAAATCCAAATCCTTCCAAACTGAACTTAAGTGTTAAACATGACCTTTGGATTTAAGAACCACAAATTTTCACAGGAAGTTGAAAACACTCTGGATGGGGGAACTAAAGAACAGCAGGAACAGATGCCATTATTTGGCACACAGTGGGGAGAGCAGCACAGAAAAGGCAGCCTCTGCAGAAGACATTTGCCTTTAACTCTCTTTGTTTTCTCTTGGGGAGATAAGGGTAGGCACTGTGTGAGATTTTTCTCCTTACATCAAAAGGCTTGGGGCAGGGAGGAAGGAGAAGTTTAAAAATATTTTAAGAACCTGGTCATAAAAATTTTCGGTTATCTGTTTTACAGCAAAAGAGGGTTTGTGAGTAGAGAGCCTAGGAGGAATCTCTTTAGATTAACTGCAACAGCCACTTGCTCTCAGGGAAGGAAAGACCTGGGAAAGGGAACAAACAGTGTACAGTTTTTGTTAAATAGAAGTGTATGTTCCTGAAGAAAGTGCATGTGAAATTCACTCTGTTGCCAGTCAGGGTGTCAGAGGGATGAGCTCAGCCTGTCCACGGGTGCTGGGGATGTGGGGAACCACTGTGTAGGGCAGGCAGAGGCAAATGCTATTTTCTTACCACCTGGGATGCAGTCTTGAACTGATATAGAAGAATCACCCATTGTAGCTTCTCTCAGCTTCTGCACTGTTAGGAGGATGAGGTAAAAACAAAAACCACTCCTGTGACTGTTGTGTCCGTTCAATCAAGCTTTGACTGTGGGAACAGAGCAAGCACATTGCACTGCCACATGCCCACTGAATCCATAGAATTATTGATTGATGTTTACTTCTGAATCTGAGCTAGTAGAGAATTGTGGAATTGACACCAGATTTAATAAATGGTAGAGTTTGGGTACCCAAGGTGGGTACTGAAACCATTCAAATAAATTACTTATAGAAATGACACAATATTTTGTAAAACCTGGTCCACTTACATGTAAGAGCTTGAATACTTCTGCCAGGGGCCTGATGACCTTTCTTGTTTTAGTCTCTGCTCAGAGATAGTGGGATCAAAGAATCACTAATTAGTGATATCTCTTTGGGAGGGAGGAGAGAGAGAGATTATAACTACGCTTTCACTTCTGAAGATAACACAAATAGTGGTAGCCTGTCTTTGCCAACACTTTCAGTACACAAGTTATAGTTTTAATGACCCTATAAGCATTCCTAGTTCAAAACAAAGCACTAGGAACCAAAGATAAGTTGCAGGAATAGGAGTAAGAAAAGTATTTTTTGAAAAGGATTATTGTGAAAATGAACAAAGTAACAATCAGGTTGTGTCATTGAGAGTCCTTACTTTGCAAACTCAGATGTCTAACATTGGAGTTTGTGGGTGGTTTTTTGTGCCCACAAGTTCCAATTGGCACAGGGTATTCTGAACATCATGGTGAAATCCAGCAATAAGACAAATCTATACCATAGTGAAGGATCAAACATACACTTCATTAGAAAGGAACAAGAAAAGAGTGCATTTCCTTTAACTTTATCATATTTGTTTAAGATCATAATCTTTACTAAAATTAAATTTTATATTCTCCTAAATTTTGCTCTGATCAAAACTCTCTGCCATGGGTGCAGGATCAAAGATGTACATCTTTGCAGGTGACCCTGCCAAAGGTATGCACACAAAACAGCTTTCAGTATGTAAATCAGGTAAACACATTTTTCCCTATCCCTCTACGGAGCTCATTCGCAAATGCAGGCACATGATTCGTGCTTTGAAACTATGAAACATATTAAGTGCAGGCACAGCCCTATTGAAATTTATGGTGTTGCTTACTTGCCTAAAGTTTTAAAATGTCACTAAAGGGATTGGGAGAATCTGGAATGCAAAGAAACTGTGTGTAGTCTTTGTGTGGCATGCCCCACAGCACTTATTTCCCTCCTCATAAGGTGTTAAACCCTATAAATATTTATTCATATATAGCTATTTTTAACATAGCGTTTCAAATGCAACTCAGATTTTAGTGGGGTTTAAGGATTCTAACTTAGGAAAGGGTCAGTTGTGGTAGCAGACTAAGTGGTTTGCATGTCTAGGGAGCAATGCCTAACATGAGATGATGAAGGTTAGGTAAAATGGGTATAGTCCATGCTGAAAGCTTTAAAGTTAATTTTTACGTGTCCTCTTACTCTAAGTATATGCGTAGTCCATCGGGTGTGATTTGCATGACGGTCTTTTCACGTCTTTGGCAATGTGAAGAAGTGCTAATATGTGCTTTAGTGTCACAGATCAGGCAGTTTTAAGTTGCTTTAAATGTAAATAAGAATTATTTCTATAAATCCATTGGTATAGTGACCTATTGTTACCGAAAAATGGTCAGGGATAAGCAAAAATGTAGTGAATAAATGACTCATATGCCTAACAATTTGCAGAAGTAGAGTAAGCATGTTTATACCTTTTGCAGACAAAACTTACTCTGAAACTATAAGTGAAAGAAGTTAAACCTTTTTTTCTAAAGTAAAAATACTGTTTTGTCAGTAGATTCACATCTAGATTTGCTCCATGTCGTAACTGTTTGAGAATCAGAAACATTGGAGTCCTCTTGTGTTTATTAAGGGCTAGTGCCTTTTGTCATTTGAGGGAAAAAAAAATGGAATGGCAATGGAAGCTATTTTGCTAATGTTTTTATCTATTCTGTGACTGACATCAATAATACATAACAGTTCCATTGACATTGCATCCTGTCCAATGGACCCACTGACCTGATTCAATGTCAGCCGAAATGCCTCGTACATCATAAACATACACGAATTCTCACAGGTCCTGGAGTGCCAGGGATCCAATACTAAGCCTACAGGAGTTTGAATTCTTTTTCTCCAGTTTATATTTTCTCTTGCACTGAGAAGGAGCAACTCTATACTTCATAGAATGTAACTGGGAGACCCCTACACATCTTATGAATACATGAATGATAATGATGTCAATAGTCGTTCAGATACTCGGCTGATAAGCCTGTGGTATACAAACCCAGATAAATACCTCATACCTTGTCAGGAGAGCCTGCAAACCTGATATGTCATTCTGCCTTATTGTGCAAGAATATATGAATCATAATATTCCCATTAACATTGTACAAAGTCTGCAGTAGTTGGAGACTTCACCCAATGACAGTACAACTTTTATAAAAATATGGATAGTTAGCATGTGCCCCTGCTGTGATTTCATTGCCACTAAAAGCAAAGGGAACAGGAATGAAAAGTATTCCAAGGTTTTCCATTGGTCCCCCTGAACAGTGCACTGCAGCAGTATATATTTGTTTTACCACTGAGCCTGTTTAGCAGTCAAACTGTAGGAAATTGAATATACACTTACTGTATAAAAATGATATGCTTGGTTAGTGATACTTTAGAAGAAATAAGTGCATCAATCATAGAATAGCAGGTTGTCAAGGCTTTATGTGTAGGAAAAACACAGAACAAAGAATGTAATGCATGTTGGGCACCTTTTAACAAAAGTTTCGTGCCAAAGTTGATTTACAATGAACATTTCCCTCCCTCTTTCCTCCCAAATTCTTCTAAAGAAACGTTCAAAGAAATCTGAGCAAACTATCATGCTCTCTGTTCTGACGTGTGTGTAATTACAAGATCATCCTCATTGTGAATTTTCTGTTTGGTTGATTTAAGGAAAAAAAAAAGGTGCATACTCTTAATGCTGTTCTGTCATTCAAACTCAGAAGGGTAATTTTCCTCACAAGTTAATGGGAAGAAGACGACTTAATAATTAGCCTGGTTTAGACAGGACCAGATCCTTGACAAGGAGCAGTGCCTGCACCCAGGACGTGCCTTGGAGGCTGAGCAGTTCTCAGGGCAAGCCTGTCCACGGAGTTTCATTGTAAGTACTCTGCCCCAGAAAGGGGGCTCTGAGGTGTGCACTGCAGCTGTCCTGGGCACCATTTTTGTCCAGTGGCACACTGGTCATGCTCAATTTCCCATCAGAGCCCTCTGAGATGTGCGGACCTGACACACAGTACAAGTCTGTACAAGGCACAAGCTTTCCTGACAGCATGTGAAAACCTACAGATTAAAACTGCCACAGAGTAGTCTATTGCTATGGGCTGTTGCATCACTCTGCATGATCCAGGCCCAAAAGCATGACCCCAAGCCTGCCTCTGCCCAAATGCAAACTCACATTCTCTGTTATCAAGCACTGTAATACCTCACCTGGCAAAAAGATTTCTGGATTTTCAGCTCAGCAGCTGTTGTCTCACTCTGTTTCTTCTTTGGGGTATCCATCCACCCTCCCATGTACATGACTCCCTCCATAATACAGACCTGTGCTGCACACATACAGCTCTAGTTAGTCTGACAGTAGCTTTTGCTCCCTTCTAAGAGATCTGCTGTGGAAAGGTAATCATACATTGTAATGAAATATAACACAAAGACAAGAAAGACCCTTTTATTTCAGCAAAAGACAAAGCCATCTTTTGAAGTTCACCTTAAATATTGTTGTTACCAATACAACCATCCCAAATATCAAAATAACTGTAGTTTATTTCTGCTGTTGGCCAACATAAAGTCACATAAAATCTTCAAAATTCTATGCCTAAATTCACATTTAATTGTTTCATTGGTGTGCCCATGTAACCTCTGCTCACTACTAGGGAGAATCAAAACAAATAAACATTGATTAGGCTATCTCAAAACTACTGAAATGCACAAGTGGCTGCTCGTGCCTCATCACCCTTCTAGTTACTGTGTGTAGAACTCCCTGATTGCCATTTGTCAGCAGTGCTATAAAAGCTAGGAAAGTTCAGTGTTTCTTTCCCTTTCCAAAAGTGGAATGAGAAAAGGGGTGGGTTCAATCGATTTCTTCTACTAAGAAAAAAGTCCTGTGAGTGTTATCACAGGTTTTCTGGTCAGAGAGGGCAATCTGCATGTGATTGCAGACACCCCTGCAGCCCACGAGCAAGAGCCATGCATGGAGAAGCAATAGTCCATTTTTCATCCCAATGCCGCTTCAACTTCTGGTACTTCTCACTTGTGACTTTCTTCCACCAGATCTATTCCTGGGGAAGTTCCAAGACAGTGCTCCAAGGACAACTGTCTCCTCCAAACTCTTCATTTTTGGGGTAGCTCAGGTATGAGTCACAGCAATGACATCCTCATGTCATGTTTTTATTCCTTCACCTTAATCCATCTGGCTATGTTTGTAGAATGGAGTGAAGACAAAGTAAAAGCTCTCTATCGATTTGACTTCCTAGCATCAAGCAGTTTAGTAGCATGAAGGTTTACAAAATCTGTGTTATTTAATACATCATTGTCTGGAAAAAATAGTATTCTTAACTGAAACATAGACATCTCTTTGTGTCTCTTGACAGAGTAATTTCTAACTGGTCTCCACCTTAATCTAATTTTTGTCGATTTCATTGTTTGTAGAACCCTTTAATTTCCCTTTAAATTAAACAAACAAAACCCAAAACTTATTTTTCCAGGACCAAACAGGTACATATAAACAGATAAGCTCGTGCTGAACAAGAACGTAATGAAGATACTACTAAAACCAGAAAGCATCATCCCTGTGTGCAACTGGGAACTGAACTCTGTATCTGGAAGTATCCAAGTTAAGGGTGCAAGTAAGTGCAATTGAGATATCTTCTACAGCACAGCTTTTAAGTGGAGTTTTCACGTAATCTTAAAATATATTGTTTTGGTGAATTACCCACTGGCTCTCCTCTCCCCCTTACTTCTCAGAAGGTGTATGTTTTTGTGATTTTTCTATTTCGTTTTTATCAATTGTGTGGCCCTCATGGATTTCCTTTAGGGTTACTGCAGAACAATTGATCCAGAACACTTGTGCAAAGTGATGCAGAAAAGAAGGGAGTGGGGGGCAGGCAACTGTATCTGTATCTGTGTTTAACACCAGTTTGGACTCTAGTCTGACTGAGGACTTTTGTGACACAAACCCAACGTTTCTATCCACTGAGAAAGGGTGTTACATCTTTATAACTCTGCCAAAAGTGTGGCTAGGTGAAAACCTTCAGGTTTTTATGGTGAGGCTAATACTGCCACTAAATTCTCAAATAACATGCAGCCTACTTACAGCCCGGTGTGATCTCACAATCAATGAGGGTTTTTTTATGCTGTAAACTGATTTCTCAAAGCTGCAAAACCTTGTGCACTCAGGAAGTTCTGGACACAATCCAGTTTGCTTTCAGTAATCCTGACCGAAGCACCATGAGTTGAAGGCCTTGGAACTTGTTAGCCTTTTCTGAAAATCCTGACAGCCTAGGGAATAGGTTAATGTACAGCTGATGAGTTCTTTCTGATGTTGTAGATGTTATGAACATACATCACAGATGTATCTAGCATACAACCCTGTATGGCTGCACTGGAGGGCAGCCCTGGACAAAGGAAAAGAAAACAATGCCAAGTTGCAATACAAAGGACACAGTGATCATTTGTTGAGTCTCACCAGGACAGTCAAACTCTAGAAGATGAGAGCTCTGGGCATTTCCATCATAGAGAGCACTTCTCTGTCCAAACATAAGAGGATTTTATGAGGAATTGCCTAAGGAGGGCTACATATCTGCATGGAAATCTTATTTCTAAGTGTGCTACAAAGCATGCACTGGACTTAAATCACTTTCTGTAAGATTTGAATCTATTCATTTTGACTATCTCTTTTTCACAGATAGTGTGCCAAGCTCAATGTCTGGGAAAAGAAGTTCTGCAATACCTTAGAGCCTCAAACCCCAGTTGTGGGGTTTCAGAAAACCTCCCCAGGAAGTACCAGTTGTAGAAAGGAGCTCCAAGAGGGAGACTCTACTCATCAAATGCCCCAAGGGAACTGTGCTGCAGCCTAATTATATGAGGGGAATCTTAGAGGTATATTTATCTGGGGATGGATCCCAACACTGCATCCTGATGGATGTTGAGCAAGAGGGAGCACAGCTAAGCTGTGAGTCTGGCTCTCAGCTCTCCTGCTGCTCAGTGAGCAATTCCCGGGATGAGCAACGCTGGTACCGGTGAGCCTGAAACCAGAGAAAAACAGAGGTGTCGGAGGGGAAGTTAAATGGGTAATACTCAAAAAGTTCCTGAAAATATTAAGTACTAGTATCAAGTCATGTAACACATAGTGGCTTTTATTCTGGAACAATAGGGGATGATTCAGAAGTGATGTTGAAGCCCCTCTGCAGCACTTGTCAGGTGGCAAGTGGCATTTTTCATGTTGCTAGAAGAAGCATATTGTGTACAAACATTTCAGATTTAATCCTGCTCTTATAAAAGGGTGTTCTAATAAACACAAATAGAAAATAAAGCTTCAGTCACTGAGAATTCCAAAGATATCAAAATAGGAAAACTTAGCTTATCTGCCTAAAATGTTTGAAAGGTTCAGGTAACTTTGCCTAGATCCAGACATATTTTTTTCTCCAGGTCTTCTAGCTATTTCTGATGTGAGCTGTTACATTGTTTGTTGCTTGTCTTATTGCAGAGATAGGTTGCTATTCAGATACATATTTTTTCTTTTTGTTATCAGGGCTGATGTGATAAAAACAGGAGAGAAACAAGGTGATACAGGAGGAATATCCAGAAAGTATTTCCACACTGTGCAAGGATGAAGAATAAAAGACACGACAAGTGCTGGGTCCCTACTAAGGACTAATGTAAGATATTATTCATCAAATACTTCACACTAACTGATCCAATCTCTCTTGTCATGAGTTTATTGGCTGCAGTGCTACTTCTGAGTCAGCCCAGGTACCCAACTATGCCATAGAGTTAGTCAAGCAATACAATAATATTGTAAAAGTTGCAGGAGGTGAATGCAATTGCTGGAAATGCTATTGATGGCATTACTTATTTATTTAGTAGACAGAATTTAGAATGGGAATAAGGATTTGTCTGTCACCATCACATCAGCCATCAGTTCAGTGCTGCCCTAGGCAATGAGTATGCTGTTACTAATTTTAGTTTGTTTTGTTGTCATCCAGTCCAGATAATTTTTGAGGTTCATTTAGTTGCTGTTAATAAAAAAGAAAGACAGAAATACTGTGTACTGGCAAAGCAGGGTACTCAGAAATCCACTCTTCAAATCTCAATCCCTTCAGATTTTGCTAGTGACATGACAGCGAGTTAGTTATTTCCTTCAGAGACAGGAGCACTGACTTGACTTCTCTTCATGACTTGGTGCTTTCTCTTGGGGGACCAGTGTCACAGCCACATCCTGCAGACTGCATGGCATCTGTGCTGCCTTTGGAAAGAGCACTTCCAGTGTTGAGCACTTGAGGGTTCATACTGAAGAGGAAGAGAATGAGAGAGAATGCACTAGAGGTACTCAAAACAATGATTGAAGATGAATGAGCTGGTTCTCTGCACGTAGTCTCTATATGCTGTCATTAGAGCTAACTGGGTAGTGCTGGTGAAAGCGGGTGTTACCTTTGCTCAGATTGTGATTAAACTGCTCAATTCTCATCCATGGGAAAGTGAGGCAGAAGTTTCTGAAATTTAAAAATGCTTTACCTGTCATTTCTTTCTTTATTCGCGTGTATTTAGAGCCCAGTGAACAGAGATAGCTAAGCTGACACAAGAGGTCACTTCCTGCTCTCAATGGCTTTGGGGCACAAATTATTCACCTGCCAAAGTAATACTTTTTTCTTTCCTAGCACCATTCCTGTATTGTCACCACTGTACAGTTATTAAGTGTCTCTAAATCCCTCTGCTGCCCCATATGTTGCCTTTGATGTAGGTGATAACAGATATATCCATTTTACAAATCTGTGGTGGGTTGACCCTGGGGAGGACACCAGGTGCCCACCAAAGCTGGTTTGTCACTCCCCTCCTCAGCTGGACAGGGGAGGGAAAATATAAAGCAAGTCTTATGAATCAAGATAAGGAGAGATCAGCTCACCCATTGCCCTCAACTGCAAAACTGACTCAACTTGGAAAAAATAAACTGATTTATTACCAATCAGATCAGAGTAGGATCATGAGAAATAAAGCCAATCTTATAAAAATACCTTCCTTCATCTCTCCCTTCATCCCAGGATTAACTTTACTCCCAATTTTCTCTATCTCCTCCTCCACAGCAGCCCACGGGGACAGGGAGTGGAGGCTGTGGTGGCTGTAGTCAGTTCATCACACGTTGTCTCTGCTGCTCCTTCCTCCTCAGCGGGGAGGAATCTTCACACTCTTGCTGCTCCAGCGTGGGTCCCTTCCACAATGTGTAGTCCTTCAGGAACAGACTGCTGTCACAGGGACACAGGTCCTGCCAGCACCATCTTCCACAGGGTCACAGCCTGCTTTGGGCATCCACCTGCTCCAGTGGGGTCCTCCCTGGGCTGCAGATGAATCTCTGCTTCACCATGGACCTCCATGGGCTGCAGGGGCACAGGTGCCTCACCATGGGCTGCACCGTGGGCTGCAGCACCCGGAGCACCTCTTCCCCTTCCTTCCTCCCTGACTTGCTGTCTGCAGAGCTCTTTCTCTCATATTTTCTCATTCCTCTCTCCAGGTGCAGTTGCTGTTTCACTGCCACCATTGCTGATGGGCTCAGCCTTGGCCACCAGTGGGTCCCTCTTGGAGCTGGATACCATCAACTCCACTGGGCATGGAGGAAGTTCCTTAAGTCACTGGCTAAGGGATACATAAGTCAAAAAGGTTAGTAAAACAACAACAGGAATTTGGATTCTGGTGTACAGCTTACATCGTTAGCGTTATTGCAAAATTTAGTTTTCTTGCCATAAAATGTCCAAAAATGACAGTTTGAAAATGACAGTGATTTTTTTGTGTGCAAAACACACCTCTACAACCCCTGACAGCATCATGTGAGGATCTCAGGATGGCTCTGAACAAGCAGGATCTGCAGCGTCAGTGCAGCATCCAGGAAGCCAGCCAAAGTGGATTGCCCTGCTGGGATTGCTGTGCTGCTTCCAGGGCTTCAGGGAGACAGTGCCAGGATTTCATGGCACCGCATCATGCTCCGTGTGTGCACCCAGATCTCTGCTGGTTCGCAGCCAGGAGCTCCCAGAAGCGGCAGCACAACATGTTCACAGAAAGGGCAACGCTTCCTTTGTGCTGGGGCAGCTACAGGTTTAATTGCATGAGGAGTCTTGCCTTCATTCCATGCCAATGATTCATGGCAAGCCCAGAGGCTCTGGGAGGAGAGAGGCCCAGCTGATAGTGCAATCTGCAGAGGAGTTTCTCTTTACCCCTCTGAATGAGGAGCAAGTCTCTCCTCATCAGGTCCACATTCAGGACTATCACAAAATAAAAGTGCACGTGGGGGCAGCAGGAGAATGAAAACCAAACAGGCTGGAACTGCTGAGAGAACCTCATCTAGGCAATGTTTTTGCACCCAAGAGCTACCATGCACTAATTTGAAAGCCAGGTGAAGTACAGAATCTGCACGGCCCAGGTCCCAGCAGCTTGCAGGGTTCATTTCCTCTCGCCCATAGAATGGTGGTGGGAACCACCGGAGGTGCTGCCTTGTGTAGCAATAAGACATTTGTCACAGTCTGAGATGGAAATCCTACCTGGTATAATTATTTTATATTAAAATAGATGAAATTTTGATATGGAAATGTAGAACATTGTACATTACATTAGCCAGAGAACAGGATATTCATCTTTACTTTAATTTGTAGACTTCATAACTTTGTTTGCATTCACTACAAGATAACTACTGTACATTCCTGAAAAATGACATCTTGCCTGAAAAGACTTAACAAAAGCCACAGTGCTGATAATTTTCCTGTGGATCAGGGAGGACAGATCTCTCTGTGGTTTCACAGACATGGACCAAGGCTCGCCTTTATCATTTTCAAATAATTGTAATGCTGTCATGGCCGCACATTAAAGGAAGTTTCTCTTGATTAACTATTTTACTCAGTCATGTGAAACTTGATTTATTCTCCTGGAACAAACATAAAAAGGGCAAAAACTTCATTTGGGGAGCTTGTTTGGTTGGCAAAATGCAGACATAGTGAATGTTTTAGAAATAGGTATATGAATTTATTAATTTTTTATCTTCTGTTGCTCAACACATCTCAAATTTTTGGAGGCTGTTTGTGGGATTATACTTTGAGGCCTGAGAAACTGAAGGCAAAGCACTGAGTGATACATGTGGAGGAAGGTAGTAATGTATTGTCATTGATTATTTTGAACAGTGAGGAGGAATGTACTTCTTGGAGGACTTTGGCAGAAGGGTGAATGGTGCAGATGCAGCTGGCTGCTTTCTGGAGGGTGCTAAAGCATTAGTTTTAAATAATAAAATCTTGATCAGAATATGTCTGTATTTTGGAAGGCTCTCTGGTGCTGTGCTGGCTGAAGTTACCTGAGATGACCATGTTCAGTAAGCACTACATAGGGAACGTGATCTTATGTTAAAGACACCTTTCATCTATCACACAAAAACGTAGCAAAATCCCTGTGGCTGACAGCTGAATCTTCACATATTTGGAGCAGTAATAATACAGACTTTTAAGATCAAGAGTCTTTCCAAACTCATGATCTGCTCTTGCAGTTGTTCCCAGTCTGCTTCTGTTCTGTAGTTGAGGCAGATTTTCAGCTATGCTATACCCACAAATAAATGCAATTTCCTGTTCAGCTTACATGTTTGCACTTATAGACTTGCAATCAGGACTTCAAGACAAGTGGACTTTTCAGTTTAAAAAATGTAAAAATGCCTAATTTCAATTATTTGTAACCAAAGAAATCCTTTAAATATTCAACTTGCACCTTAGATGTGCCATCAGCATTGATTTAGGAGTCTGTGTTCCACAAATTTAATATATTTCAACAGATTAAAAAAAAAAAAGAAACAAAGCTCAACAACCTTTAACTCATGTTATAATAGTTTTAAAGAGCATTAACTGAACCACCAGGGAAAATGAAAACCTATAATCAGACAGAGTCATTACTCTATATTATGTTCTGCAAGATTTAAATCCCTGTATTAAAAAAAAAAAGTAGTAGATATTTATATTTTTGTTGTTGTTTTTCTTCCTTACCCTGGACATATGGCACTTAAAAT